ATCTGTAGGTAATTGACAAAGATATATTTAAGTCAGTAAGAATTCTTCCTGAATGCATGGAGTGTGAATTACTGAATGAGGATTTCAGGACAACAACCTGGTGAGTTTAACATCAACAGGATTGAAGTTTGTCCTGTTACCCAGTTCCCTAATAACCACAATTATTATCTGACCTAGATATTTCCTTTAGAATGTAATGCACAATTTTCTGGGTTTGGTTTAGTTTTTCTTTTAAAAACTAACACATAGCTTTCTACTTTTCTTAGTATATAAGCTGTTACAGGATGGGCCTCTGAAGGTGATAGGGATAGCGTAAGTGCAGTAAAGGAAAGTTATCAAACATTCAAATAAAACATCACTAGCCCATTTCAGGTGAAAAAGATTGAAGTTACTCTGTAAGGCTTGCTAGAAAAATCTTTCTGTTATTAGATAACTGTTAAATACAACATTCTTATAAGGTAAAATAAGAAACTTTCACAAACCAGTAACACTTACATGCGTGGCACCACAGCAAGTATTACAGTGTGCTCTGATGGCTCAGTGGCACGAATGGACCTGAGGAGACAAATGTTTCCCAGTTACACCACACGTTTTTCTCAACGTTACTCTGAGTACCTCCACAGAAAACATAAGCAAAAACCAGCCCTGAAACACCCCATTGAGGCTACAAAATAGGACATCACCCTGCCAAACCTACCTATCTCCACTCAGACAAACCATTTCCATTTTGCCACTAGATTCCTCAGAGTTTGCTCTAGTCAGTGAAGAAGGTAAGAGCTCCAAAAACACAGAGCACAGACAGCAGCTTCTCAAATCCACTTTTATAGCCTAGCAAATGTTTTCCCTGTGTACTTAGCTTACTTGGGACAGACTGCCCTGAATGCATGAGTTGAGAAAGGTCAGTCTATGCAATGCATTTTCAATACACTTTAGCTAATGTAAACAAGAATCTTTACCACCTCTCATATTTACCACTTCTGGACATAGCAAAATTTTCTTTAGAAGGTGGGAAGTGCTTTTGAGGCATGCAAGTAAAAAAAGTGGGTGTAGCAAATGATTACCATTTATTAAATGCTGAATAAACAGAATTTTACCACTTTACCACTTTCTTATTGGAAAACTGAAAAAGAATGCAACCAGCTGTCAGAATACACTCCACTTTTTACTGGCTAAAGATAAGTCTTTTCATTCATGACATACTGTGCTGAATCAGCAGTCTTTATATGCATTTGTTGGTCTTTATATAAAAACTTAACATCTGCACAAATATTTGAGCACCAAAATGCCCCTTGTCATACACATGGCAAATTTCAGCTTACGACAGACTACAGGCACAGTGTGATGCAAAATATACGCTTCAGTTGAAAGTGTATTTAGCAAGGAATCTCAATACTAAGTGCTGCAACCTTGATGCTGCTTAGACAGTACCATATGGACCAGAAAAGTGATGCAAACTTCTGTGAAGAACTAGTAGTGCCTGACCTAGTGGACAAACAAATATGTTCCTTTGAAGGCTGTAGCTTCAGACTTTGCTCCAGCAGTAAGCCAGGAAAGAAGAAGGAACACACAGCAGGGAATAACTTCACAAAAGCCCTGGCTTACGTTCTGATAGAAGCCCATGGTCTAAAGAGACAATTCCATGGTTCAGCTTTGTCAAAAGGATATTTTTCATGTTGTTATAGTCTTGCAGATGTATGCAAACCTCCTGGCCTCAGTCCCCAAGCTTCCATTTTACTATAGTTTTGGAGGTTCCTTTTTTGTTCATTGTTTTCCTTACTTGTTCATTTTTTTTCCTACTTTTTTTCCTTTTAAAATTAGAAGGTTTGGTTTTGCACAATACATTCTGAAGCTCACGAGAAGCATAAGGTCATTTAGGTTACCTGCAGATATCTTCTGCATCAAAATATCTGGAGTTCCTGTGATCTATAACAATTATTTCCTGGTGCTTATCAAGAAAACATTCAAGTGCTGACTCTGGAGTCCTGGCAATGTTGCACCTGTACCCAGCTCTGTCACAAGCCCACCAGAAGCCATTGCTTTGGTTGTCTTCTTTTGCAAAGACCAGCAAAACCTGCAAAGGATGGAAAACAGAGGCACCACATTAAATACACATAGTCCTCTGCATAGGGCAAATCTTAACAAACACTTCTGCTGCATCAACGATTGAGTCTGTGTTGAAAGTGAGAAGCTTGAACCACAGGCTGCAAACCAGTAGTGCCACTTTCTTAATGGATAGAGTGAGTGGTCATCAATAGATAATCAATAGTTAACTGTGTAGGACTTATATTTAGGGCAAACCCAGCTTGCCAGATGATGATTCTTTCCTGCTTCCTGCTCCAGTTCAATCAGCAGCCACCAAGAGTGGGTGGGTAGGTGTTCAAATATGATTTCCACTCACTTCAGGCCATTCCAGCTACACACAGCTTGGACTACAATGAGCTGTCTGAAATGCAACTGTCTTAATTACAACTTTTTATCCCTGAAGACAGGGATGAACAATTAACATGACACAGTTTTAGTCACTATTTCTCCTTTGATGTACAACGAAGAAGAATTAACCGGTATAATTTCAAAACTGAAAAGGACAACAGACAAACAGGTATGGACAGGGTTGGGCAGGGAGAGGAAAAGATTCAAACATCACAGTTTTTTCACCCAATAAATTGTCCCAAATTGTCTCTAAATGTGAGCTTGTTTTGACAATCTGACTAAAAACTTAAGGACCTGTTCACGCAGGATTGAGGAGCTGCTCTAAAGACCAAGGAGATGTTGTGGGAAGACTGATTGCTAACTGACACACAGAACACAGGCTGAAAACAGCTGTATTTCTTTGCTTCTCATGTGAAATAAAGTGCTTTTAGGAGAGAATAAATTTATCATCCTTGCTCTATAATATATGTATTATCAGCACACAATTTATTCAGATAGGAACACAAGTCATGTAGACATTCCCCACTACAATTTACATACATTTACCACAGCAACTGATCACTAACCCTATGTGTCGTGAAGAAAAGGGCTCATTTACTGCAAATATGCTGCAAAAAAAGAAGACCTTGAAAAGCCAAAAGTTTATCCACAGCTATTTCAATTGGACAGAGAGGCAGCAGCCAGAGAGTAATCATAGAATCATAGAATTTAAGGGTTGGAATGGACCTTAGAGATCATCTAGGCCCAACCCCCTGCCCTGGGCAGGAACACCTGACTAGATCAGGCTGCACAAGGTCTTATCCAGCCTGGACTTGAACACCACCAGGGTCAGAGGAGCCACCACGTCCCTGGGCAACCTCTGCCAGTGTCTCACCACCCTCACAGGGAAAAGCTTTTTTCTCACATCCAACCTAGACTTTCCCTCATTCAGTCTGAACCCATTACCCCTTGTTCTGTCACAGCATCTCCTAACACAGAGTCCCTCTCTGGCTCCTTGTAGCCCCTTCAGATATTGAAAAGTTGCTATAAGGTCTCCACACAACCTTCTACAGTCCCAACTTCCTCACCCTGTCCTCATACAGGAGGTGCTTCAGTCCCCTTAGCAACTTCGTGGACTCCTCTGGACTTGCTCAACAGTTCCTTGTGCTTCTTATGTTGAGGACACCAGAACTGTGTGCAGCATTCCAGGTGGGTCTCAGGAGAACAGAGTAGAGGGGAAGAATCACCTTTTTGACCTGCTGCCCACACTCCTTTGGATGTAGCCCAGGATTCAACTGGCTTTCTGAATAATATATGTATAGAGCAAAATTCTGTTCATTTCACAAACAGAAGTCATCTCCTGTCTTCACTGAAACAACCTGCCTGAGAAAAACATGCAAAGTTTTGCTCCAAATCCCCATGAGATAGGGCAGAAACATTTCATCCGTGCTGCTCTATACAGCTGTGGTGTCAGCACATGAATTTCAACACCATCAGTCCAGAGGCTAGAGAAGGTGATCATAGCTTTCCTCTTATGTTGAGCTGTCTGGATGGTTGAATTCTGAACAATCAAAAAATCAGCCAGTGTTACTTTGACAGCACAACCAGTCAAGATTCTTTTAAATACAGGAAGAAAACGAGATGCTCAGAATTTCCATAGATATTAAAAAATAACTTTAGAAATTTAAATTTATTAGAAAAAGTTTTTAATTCTAGTTAACAGTAAGGAGATTTTACTGGCACTTAACATCCAAGGTAACTGCTGTCACTCTACCTAACCCCTGAGTTTTTTCCAGACATCAAAGTGTTGGAAAGCAGTGACAAGGCCAAGCTGCGGACTGTCTGACAATTCTTGGGTGGAATCCCTTCTCTGATAACATCTTCTCTGGTTCCAACTGCCATGAGTTTTATTTTGCTCCTAGTCTGAAACAATATGTTCAGAAAATATTGGGGGGAGGGCATATTTTTTTACTATCTTCCTT